CCCCCCCCCCATGGCTAGGCCAATGTATCCCATGGGGTCCCTCTCTGCCCCCTCCCGCTCCAGGGCTCCTGGGCTGGGGCCAATGCACCCCCAACAATGCTGTGCCTTCTCCAGCACCTGGAAACCCCACGCTACCATGGCATCCCTATGAGGCCTCCTCCACCCCTAATAGCCTCACCCAGTCCTCCAGTTAAACAGTAAACATAAAAGACAAAGCCCCCAGGCTATAACATAAAGCTAAAACCATCCAGTCAGAATCACTACCTGGCAAAATACTCCAGCTCATGGCAGCAACCTGCAGATACTCATGCAGCCAAACCTTGGCCTTCTCTCTGCACAGGCCAAGCTCCTCACTCCTTGGCTTCCAGAGAAGGAACTGACCTCATGGCCTCATGCTTGGGCTTAAGAAGGGGCCAAGCCCTGCCCCTTCCTGTCAGCTGATCCCCTTGGTTCCCCTAGCAACCAGCACCTGTGCTGCTCTGGAGACTGGCAGTTGCGCCTCCCCTTTCTCACCACTAGGGGCCTCTCTTGAGCTATCCCTGTTCTCAGGCGCAGGGCACCCAAGTGCTCTGCGACAGGCCTATAAGCCTGTTTTGAGATTAGGACCCACTGTGTAAATGATCAGTAAGATACAATCCCCACTCTAGGGAGCTTGCTGTCTAAACAGATAAGAGAGATGCAGGAACACAGAGACGGGATCGGACTTGCCCAGACTGGTGAACAGTAGAGCCAGGAGCAGAACCCACATCATCATCTGAGTGATAGTCTAGTGTTCCATCCTCTAGACCTGGCTGACTTCTAAGAAGGTGATTAAGGCCCAAATTGGCAGTTCTAGCATCTATGCTATTTACAAGAGCTTCTCCGTATTGCTAAGCTGCACCCTAAGGTCCTTGTTATACCTTACACTGTGAGCCACACAAATGCTAATTGGTGTTAATGCTAGCTCCAGTTTGAAGCAGTCACGTTTCAGGCCAGCAAGGGCTGGGAGGACTGAAAGATAAGAATCCCTCCTCTCCCCCTCCCTGCCCTATTCTGGGCTTCCCCCCACCCCCACGGGCTCCCTGGGTCCCCTCTCTATCCCCAGGGGTCTCTCCTTTCCCTTTGGGGTTCACCCCTGCCTCCTGTCTCCCACAGCCCCCAGGGCATTACTTATTTGTGGGTGCCTGTGCTGTCTGTCCCAGGGAAGCAGGTAGGAAAGAGTTAATCTGCTTGCCCAGCTGACACTGCTGCCTGGATCCTGCACCTCTGGCCCAGAGAGCAGCAGGAGCTGCAGTAGTGGTGACTGGGCAAGTAGGTTAACCCCCCCTGCCTGCTCCCTGAGTAAGCAATGAGAGGGGGGGCATAACCAGGGATCTGGCATGCTGGAGAGGGTAGAGGGGCAGTGGGCCCAATCCAGGCCAGTGGGAGATGGGGGACAGGTGGAGTGTTTACATTAAGTTGTAGAGTGGTTACACTTTAGCGTAGGGGTAGGTAACCCCCAGCACAGGTACCAGAGTGTGGCACACAAAGGCATTTTGCTTGGCATGCATGCCTTGAGGCAAACAGCAGGGAAGGGGCCAGGGCTGCACTGCCACAACAAGGACTGGCCCCTTGTAGCTCCCCTGCCATCTGCCCCTAGCATGCCAACTTTTTATAAGTTGAGGTTGTGGGTGTTTTTGGCACTCTGCCCAAAAATGTTGCTGACCCTTGCCTTAGCATAACACGAGCTGGGTAACAGAGATCAGAGAGAACTTAAAACTAGCTTCAGTTGTTAATGTGTGGACAATCCAGATATTAAGAGCTCCAGGAGCTGCCCAAAATTACCATGTTACAAGGCCCTAAGTTGGAAATGATTTACGTTGAGCATTATGCTAAGCCGTAAAAGGCAAGGTTTTTTCCCCAATCAGCATGGGAAAAAAGGTTTTTCATATTATATTTGCATTAAAAAAAATAATTAAATACAGTATCTGTCATTAAACTCCTGCCAAAAGCAACATGTGCTCAGTAATGGAAACCAACTTTGAAGCTGATTAAAGGTAACCAAAATTGAGTGCGTTTATAAAACACGTGGCCCATATTGGGAAAACATACTGAAGCACAGCCCATCTGAGTAAGATATATGATAGTGCCCAAGGCACACAGTCCCCTTCCCCCCAGCGCTGACTCTTTTTCAAATCATGAGGAGCCACTACAATGAATACATTTTGACTTCCTCTTCACTCCCACAGCTGAGCTGTGTCTTTCTTTCTCATTTTATAGAATCATAGAATGATTCCTATTTCCTCACCAGTCTTAAATGTCTGGTGCACATCACCAAATGGGGCCCCAAACAGTTCACTCAGAATCCCTATGTTGCCCCTTCTCTCAGCCTTTCACATAAGATTACTGCTCAGTGCTACAGTCTGAGTTGTGGGGTCACCATGGCTTGAAACGCTGTTTGTTGACTCTGGTGGGGTCCAGCCCAATGAACTAAAGGGTAAAACGTGAGCCATTTTGTGGGGTATTTTTTGCAATGGTGTGTATATATAGGTACAAAAGTGCTGCTTAAAAATGTGCTTATGGTATACCTGTGTTAAAACTTGCAGCAGTTCAAAAAAAAACAAACAAAAAACCTGACCCCTGCAGATTTATATTCCTTGTTGTAGCAGGGGGAGGGGGACAAATTCAAGGCAAACCTCCAATAATTAGGATTTATACCTGGAGAATTATAACAAGATTATAAATTTTCCATCTATAGAATCTAATTATTGGAGGGTAGTCTTATATTTGGGTGAATACAGTAAGTAGTCTCCAAAATGAAAGTTCTGATCTGGACGGAAGGACATTAATACTCAGTCAAGGTCTCAAAGTCACAGAGCACATCGCAGAATCCACAGCTAGCACTGAAAGTGCCTTCTCCATATCAGAACAGAGCTGATCCAGGAAAGCAGAGAAGAATGCTTATAATTTTTTCCACCCAGGCTATATCAGCCTGTCAGTAGAAGCCTTCAGGCTGCCAGCTGTTAATAGGCATCCTTTCTTAAGCACTAAAAACACTGGGGGGGGGAGGGGAGGGAGGGAAAACTAACAATGACACTACCCTGTTCATACAGGGCTTTTCATTCGTCAGTCTCAAAGCACTTTATAGACAGGAAAGTAAGTATCATTTCCCCTAATTCAGAGACGGGGAAACTGAGACAGAGGAGAGGCAAAGTCACAGTCATCAGTGGAACTGCTCTCCTGACTCTCAGCCAGATACTTTTTGAGTGGACCAACTGTCTCCAGAAGAGACTATTTCCATGATCATTAGCCCTGGAAAAACATAGTCATAGGCCTACTGCCAAACTAGTAAAGTGTTAACACCACAGCATGCTGAAGGATAAAAACAAAGGGAATTTTATATCAGTGTAATTATTTCCTTATCTCATACTGTGTTTTTAAATTGGGCAGGTAACCATACCATGGGATCTAAATCTGTGATGAGCCAAGTGCCCTCAACTCCTAATTTTTTCAATGAAAGTGGAAGGATCCCAGCACTTGGCAGAAATCGGGCCCATATTCCAGTTTAGTATGCTCAAGAGAATATAATGAAGCAGACAGGAACAGCATTCTGATAATTATACAGGTAAGAGGCTTATGGACTAATACAGGCTCCACTGTTCAGAGCAAACAAGTGTCTCATTGCGAAGAACTGGCTACTCAGGAATTCCATTAGCATTCAAAGAACTCCTTCTGGAAGACAGAAAGGAAGAATGCTGCATAGCAAAACTTACCAATGAAGTGTCAGAGTCCAGAGATGGAATTTGGTCTTTCACTGCAGAGAGTATAGCTCCCCACTGTAATGTTCTGCAGCCCTGGAAAGGAGTTGGAAGATCCTCAGATTGGCCCTCCTTATCCTTGCTTTGTCTTTCCGATGCCATTTGAAACAGCTTCCATGCAATCAAACTCAAATGCAAGAGGAGCTTCAGAGCACGTGTCTCACTAAAAAACCCCCAAAAACGTCATCAGTACAAAGTAGGAATGGATCCCACATCCATTAAGCAACAGCTTAATTCTTGGCTGTCCTGTACTTTGAATTACTATGTGGTCAGCACTACCCCAACAGTACAGATATTGCCTGCACTACAGTATATTATATAGAGCCTTTGCTTTCCACCTGACTCCAGTTAGGCTGATACCTTTCTGCTCCCCACACCAGGAGGCAGCCAAGGGGCAGTTCATACCCTGAAAAAATTTAGAGCAGCCTCAAAGATGCTCCTAATCAGGCAAGCTTATAATAACACCCTCCTACCCACCCCACTTGCCCCATACCCTAGAAAAGAGGCAGGGGACAGGTCGAGATGTTTCCATTCCACCAGTTAAATGTCCAGTAAAGGATCCTGTGCCTCCCCCCTAGCAACTGAAAGCTTTAACCATGGATTATGCTGCTGGAAATGCATAAAAGCCAAGTACCTGATATTTCAAAATGTTTATGAAAAATGAACTCTTTCCTTACTTCTTCCCAAATATACATGTGGAAAAAATAGGTAACAAAGGGGAGTGGAGTCTGCTGTGCTGCTTGGATCATTCTAATGGGGAACCCTTTCTCTTTCAATTTCTTGTAATACAATTATATGACTTCCAGAAGGACTAAAAATGGGAGTAAATCTGTCCCAACTGAAAATAGAAGTTGGATGGCTTGTGACTGCAGAGTTTAGTCAGTGAACTGATCACTCTTATTAAATCATTCATCAGTTTGCCTTTGCCATTCCCCCTGACAGACTGCTTAGCATGCACAGAGTGGAGGTCATTCTTGGTCCAAATGAATTTACAATTTAAACTGTGCAAAGCGAGCAATGTACCTTTGTGAATGCTTTCCACATACCATCCACTTAATATCTCTACTTTATTCATATAAGAGTGTTTGGGATTGGATGGCATCAAGAAGCCTAACTGGATTCATGGTAGGTGAGGACAGCTGAGGACATACAAAATTAAAGGTCATTTGCAGAGAAGAAACAGGAACTGCTAAGTGCAGCTGCATTCCCTGGTACTTCTGTCAGTCTGAAAATGGCAAAGAAGTCAGAATGTCTCACTATAAGGCCCTTCCCTGGGACAGGTCTAATTGACACATGTTAAGAACATGGGCCTTATACCCACCGAGCAATGATGAGACAGCCCGCCCCCCCACCATTAATAGAGGGGGCTATTGGGTGCGTGTCAACTGAATTCGTGAGACAAAAGACAAAACAGGCACAAGACTTAAGGTCAAGGTTCAAAATGAGTGCACCAAGGGTCGACATGGGGCAAAGTAAATTGGACAGTGCCCACTAAACTTCAAATGAGTCCAAGGAGCTAGTGGACACTGCCCAGTGAAACTTTGCCTGGAGATGTGAAAAGACAAGGGAAAGGAAAATGGCTCAGCAGTGTCTGGGGCAGGACTGGGCGGGGGGGAGGCAGCCAGGACCTTTTTCCTGGTCAGACAGAGCACCAGCTTGCTGCCCTGGGATAGGAAACACAGGAACTGCTGAAGTGGATCAGACTAATGGTCCATCCAGTCCAATGCTACAATAACCAGCACCAGATACATGGGGAAAATGCAAACACTTCTCTCCATTACACAGATGCAGGACAATTTGCCCTTCTCACTGGGCCACTGCCATCCTCCATCCTTCAAGCTGAAGATTGCCTTAAAACCGTTTTTAGACTGGACATCAGGAAAAACTTTTTTACTGACTAAGTCTCCAGAGTCTGGAATAGACTCCCCCAGAAGCGGTGCAAGCACCTACGTTGGACACCTTTAGCAAACACTCAGCTGTTTATCTTGCTGGGGTGATTTGACCCCAGCTGACTTCCTGCCCCTTGGGCAGGGGGCTGGACCAGATACTCTCAGGAGGTTCGTTCCACCCCTAATATCTATGAAATTTATTAAACAAGAATTTGGAAGTTTAAGCTGTCTCCCAAAATGTACGCTAGCATTTACTACTATAATCCTGCCCATCACTCCATTGCACATCGCTACCCCATCCCTCTGCAATCTTGCTCAATTTTTGGCCTGGGCCCCACGGGGCAATGAGCTCCACTAGAGCTGCTCGCTGTGCTCAGCTTATTTATAGGGTTTGCATTTGCCACCGTCTAATTGCCGTGCTGTCCTGCACGTCTATTCCTTCCGAGCCTCATCGCAGGCCCTTCGCCAGCTCCTTCTTTAGTGTCCATTACTTGGATCACGTCCCCCCCACGGTTTGCTTTCCCAGGCAAACATGCCTCCACCGGCTGAGCTCACCGGGCCCGGCTCCGCCACTCTGCCCTCGCCCCCCGCGGGGCCGCAGCTGCTGACTGCTGGCTCCGCCCCCTCCTCACTCCGCCTATCACAGGCGGCCCCGCCCCGCGCTTCCTCGCTGTTGCCATAGTAACTAGCACAACCGCCGCTGCGGCTCCTGCGCGCGTCCCTGACAAACGACGCACGCGTCCCCTGCGCGCATCCCCCGCCGCGCCGCCATCGCCCGGCGAGGTGCTGCCGCCCGCCCGCTGCCAGCGGCCTCCAGCCCCAGCTCAAGACGCACCGCCGCGCCCC